CATCCTAGGGTCTGGCCTTACAGCTCTGTTTTCTAAAGACCATTCAGGGTGCTCCCCCCGCCCCCCACGTATTTAAACTCTGCCATGGATTGTCTGTGAACAGGTTGCCTGGTGTGCCTGGGCATGTCAAGGTTAAGGCAATGAATAAATTAGGAAATCGACACAGTTGCAGGTGACCCATTTTTAAAGATCGAATTTAAAAGCACTTTGTCTTCAAAAGAAACTGGATTAAGCGGAACTGCCCTGTTTAGCTAAAACATGGACCATTATTTGAAGAAGCATTTAGGATATTTTATTTCCAATGGTGGCTTGTTCTTAAATGCATAATGTTAAAGAAGAGAGCAGAGCTTTTAGTTTTAGTGACTTTGAAGTAAAAAAAAAAAAAAAAGCACTATAGATTCTATAATCCATATCCAAAGTGCAGAATAGCATGAAGAAGTACAAATAAAGCATGTCCTGAATTGTTATATTCAGGGGAATCTCTTTGTAAGGTAGCATTAAAGGGAGGTGTAATGAGCTCTTTATAGGTTAACTATATGACCTTAGGCTTTTATTTTCTGTAATTTTTTGCTTTTTTAAAATGTTTTGGGAAACCATCGAATATTAGAGACCATAAGTTGGATAATGATGTACATTTAACTAAAAGGAAAAGGATCTAACTCATCCAATGACGATGTCCAGACTTTCTGCCCCAAACCTGCTGGGGATCTCATCACAGGATGGCATTAATTTTGTGAATTTGTCACATTCTGGGACCAATCCCAGTAGGCTCAGAACACTTATTTGTCAGTACACTGTGAGTGGTTTCTTCTCTTAGATGTGGACTCATAAACTCACAAACTCCTGATCATAATATATAAAGCCAGAAAGCCATCTGATGAACATACAGCAAACCATACTTGCCAAAGGCGTAGACACATGCCACTAGCCAACCCATTACCTCCCTGTAGGCACAGACAACAAATTTTAGTCAGCTGGTTGTGAAGCTGTAACCAGCCAAGATGAGTGAGTTACATATTTTAAATATTCAGTGGCATGAGGCTAAGGTGGTTGATTATATTAAGTCCACCAAAGAGTGACACTTGCCACCAGCACCAGATTCCTTAATTAGCACTTGGCTGGGCACTGCTCTGCGTGACCTTGGGCAAATTACTTGCCTCACTGTGTTCTCTATCCATAAAAATGTATGAATAAATGCTTCAGCAAAGTGCTTGAACCATGGGAAACCATTGTTTTTTACCATCCATGCCTTAATTGCCCAACAGGCTCTTTTTTTTCACATAGAAATCATCTATCTCTTCTATCTCTTTAAAGTGACTTTCTATATCTCTGATTTAAAAGCTTAACTCACAGAGGAAAACAACTTCCCTACTTCCAAGTTCTGGTAGGTTCCAGGTAAAGAAAACAAGGATAATGAGGCCTTCTCCCCCGCCCCCCCGCCAAGGACGTCTATGTAGCCAATAGATTGTTAAGGCTCTTTTGGTGTTGATAAAACACATAGCATTCTGTCAAAAGTCTGTAGAAAGGGGACCTGCTTACTAAATTATCCATTTAACTTCCCAAAACTCAAGTATCCTCTGGTGTTGTAGTTTCTTTTCTTTTCCTGAAATATTTGTAATCTAGATAAAAAGCATCACCTTGTCTTGAGTTTTCCCCAAGTATGTTTCACTTTCCTATGGAACAGAGGGTGGGCATCGGCTTTGCTGCTCCCCCACCCGCCGGTCGAACCTGCTGCCAGAAAACAAAGGGTAGACAACAACAGGGCCTTCATGCTGCAAAGACAATGGATAGTAACGGACACCTGCTTGATAACCATTATTGTGCTGTGGTGTTTAATTCAGCCACCTCTGGTTTTAGCTTTTTATTAGAAAACAACCTTTGCATCCCTCTGTAAATCTTCTACCTCTTTTCCCTCTTGGCCTCAGACTGTGTACTTAGAAAGCATTACCCCCCGTTTGGGGTCAGACATTTGCTGGGGAAATATATGAGCCAATCTCTTTCAGGATAAGGAAGCCATTACCCATGGTAATGCGGAGTACGGCTTATAATTTAGTATTTTATTTTGAGAGTTTGGCGGCCATTTACTTGTTTTCATCCAAATCAAGGAGTTAGAGTTTCAGAGTAAATCATTTTCCTGTTAAGAGTCTTGATTTCCCAGTGTTTCCCCTTGACGTTTCTGTGAAATGTGTTATCCTGGATTAGTACAAAATCAGGCACCAATGCCTCAGCATTAAATATCACACGGCTGTATTAACTTTTTATGAGATGAAGCTGAGCTGCAAAACATTATGTGTGGATTTTGGAGAGGATTGTTTCTGACTGGTGAGTTATGATGACTGAGTTTTTATCTATAGTACTAGAGTAGGGCTGATCGGATTAATGCATTTTAGGCATATAAACCTGAATTATAAAGACGAGAAATATGTTCTCATTGCACGCAATTCTTTGTGGGTAATGGTGTAACTGTATGAGTTTTTTAAGCTATTGAAATATACTCTGGATGATTGGAAAAGGCTTATATTTCTAGATTCCCTGGGATACTAATATGCATATCTCTGAAAGGAAATGGAATATAATGGTCTTGCCAGGGCTGTCTGTAGTTGATGGGACACCCAGCACCATCAAATCACGGGCTGCACTAAATGTGATTAGGAGCTGTCACAATACATTTAGCCCTCATCGGTTAGAGAGAGAATCTGGGCCAAAGGTCATTCTCTACAGCAAAGTGGGCATTTAGTGCTTTTATTTGCACTAATGGTAAATGATAGTTAATGAAAATCATTTATAAACCTTGTCCAAACCAGTGTTTCTCTACTGAAAACGGCGGCTGGCTGCCTCTTGGAAGGGCTGTAATTGCAATACGGTTGACGCCATGTGATAGTAATTGGGCTCACAGCTTAATGAACTCTGTGTCCGGGAACTCATTTCCACACAGTGGGAAAACAGGCTGAGGTAACAGCCCTCCCTGGTGGGAACTCAGACTCCGGCTTCGTCGGGTGGACCTTTGTCACTTTGCACTTTGAAGTGAAATATTAGCACCTTTGAAATGATGTGCCCAGTCCGAGGCCTCATACTTTTGGATTGTGGTTGACACATACCCTAATGATGATTAATAGCCTTTTCAAGTATACTAGTTGTTTTAAAGGTCATTTAATCTTTATGTAGCAGCTTAATTGAAATTTTATCCTTCTTATACACCTGGTGTTCATTTGGGGGAAGAAAAGATGCGGTCGCTGCAAGCTGATGAGAAATAATTTATTTGGCATTCCTTCTCTTTCCTCAGGTTTTCACTTTATTCATTTGAAAAAACTTTACCTTCGTTTTACTTCTTTTGCAGTAGTTGTGGTAAAGTTTCTCCCGGCGAATCCAATGCTTGGCAGCTTCTTGGCTTGATTCCATTTCATCAGCCAACCGCCGGGAGGCAGCGCCCGGCCGCTTAGCCTTACCTTTGGAATCACAGACGTCTGAGCAAGAGAATGGTGACCCACTTGAAGGACAGGTATTTGAATGAAAGTGTTCCTGAGGACTTTCAGCAGTCTGTAGAAGACTCAAGATTTGGTGTGATTTATACAGAAGACCTAATAATCACTAATGTTTATTGAGTCCTTACTCTATGCTCACCCCTGCGCTAGGTCTTTGATGTGAATTAACTCATTGAATCTTTGCAAGAATCCTATGAGGTCCGTAGGGCCTCCCCATTTTACAGATGAGGATGTGGGAGAGACGGGTTACATTACTCCCCTCAAGTCAGGTGGCTAAGAAGGAGGACCCTGCTTAGCCGATGTGGCATTGTGTGCAAATTAGGGGAAGGCTCTCCCTCTGGTGATGGCTTGGCTGGCACAGCACAGGATGGATGGCAGCCCCTGTCTGCACCCGTGCGGCAGCCTGGCCGGTGGGGGACAGACCCTGAATCTGACTGCGACAGGTGCAGCGGTGCTGTCCAGTGGAAATAGAGTGCCATCTTAACTTTTCTAGGGGCCACATTTTAAAAAGAAACAGGCAAGAAGATTTTTAAGGATGCATTGTATTTAACCTAATAGATTCAAAAAGTTATTTCAACCTATAATCAATATCAAAACTATTGAGATACTTTACATTCTGTTTATTTTATTTCTATTTAACCCTTCACACCCATTGGGCATATTATACTTCTCGTATTTTTTCAGTTAGTACTTAGACCCATTTCAAATGCTCAGTAGCCACATGTAGCTGGTGGTTCGGACAGTTCTAGAGCCCCAGGTCTTCACCTCCCAACCCCGACTGATTCTGAAAGAATAAGCTGAATTCCCTCAAACCATCCTCAATTAAGGAAACCTTATAAGAAACACTCAAGTAGATCAGAAATTCCAAACATGGTTCCCTCTGGCTGCTATCAGGGTAATTATGAAAGCTTTGTTTTTGCATACAAAGGGTACATCAGCACTATTTTTTTTTTTTTTTTTTTTATTTGAGAGAGCACATGAGAGGGGGGAGGGTCAGAGGGAGAAGCAGGCTCCCCGCCGAGCAGGGAGCCCGATGCGGGACT